GATCAGCTTCCGAATCACAGGGATTCCTGGCCGTTAATTCTTGTTTTTAACGGCCGGGTTCCCACCCGCTGTTCGTGCAGGATTTGCCAGGATGGGACTCTCGTGTCCCGTTAGGTGCCGAAATTCACCGACATTGACAAAGCCGTCACCCTTGTCAAAGTTGGAGATTTGCAGGATCCTACAGACAAGCAGATCGATCGGTCCATCGTTCTCAACCATGAGTGGGCATCGTACGAAGTAGGTTTTGATAACAAATCAATGCTCGGTTGGATTCACACGGACGAGACGTTGTCTTTGATCCCAGGCCACATGCCTCAATTGTCACCAGAGGCGCAAGCACTCGTTCAATCTGTCCCATGGAGGGACGACGGTCGGTTCCTGTGTGCTAATTATCACTGGGTGAGGACTGGCTTTGGACATTGCCCCTCCTGCGGCAACCCGATCAATTACAAACGCAGAGTTACTCACGACTACTTGTTCCAGACATGGAAAGATTAAGTTATTCCGAATTCCCTTAGGGAACACGGAATTTCGTTGCATTTTGATAAACCCCGCGAGCTTCCTAATGACCGCGCCGGCTGGACTGGGGCGCGGGTAAAACGACGGCGGAGAGCTTCGGCGGATGTGATATACAACATCAACAACCCACTTGCAGCAAGAGCGCAAGTGGGCAGCCGGTAATCAATATTTACGCTTGGCTGCTTCAGGTCAAACCTTTGGAAACAGTCGGACAATTAGTTATCCCGCCTGGATTCCTGACCACGCCGCGGCCCAGCCGCCAGCGCGTCACGGTCCTTTCTTTCAGTACCTCGAGCCTCTGAAGAGACGATTCATTAAGTGGCCTGCACATTTGGCTAGGAAACAAAGGATACAAGTCCCTCCGATCGCGGACTGGTGGCCCTTGCTTTGGGCAGCGGATATTGACCTGTATGCGCGCCCAATGTCTTGCCCTGCTCTGGCTGCTTTTGAGTGGCCAGAGGCGTCCGACACACTTCATGAACCAGTAGAAGGTTGGGACAGATGGGAGCGCACAATGAATAACCATAGAATATTTGTGCCGACGTTGCAGACAGTGATCAACGCAATAGCCGGGACAGCGCCGTGGCTGCCCGTTGAACAGGACAACGCCACGGACACCACAGGGCACAGCCCTCGTGGACGTCCACCAGTCGCTTGGGCAAATAGTTTTGTGGCGCGGCCTCGCCGTGTTTCCCAGTCCGTTACCAGGCGTGTTAACTGATGTTCTGACCACCGCTTGGTTTCAGGACTAGTCCAATCTGCCGCCGGTTCAACCGAGACGGCAGGTGAGGAGAGTTTACAAGTGACGCTTGACTTCACTGCAATCAGCGGATCCAAGGCCGAGCTGATAATTAATGGGACGATTGATCTCGATCAACCCGATGAGTATACATACTCACATTGCGAAGACAATTCGTTGAACATCACATTGACCCAGCTCGAAGCCAAGGCAGTGGCTGCACAATATCATGGAATGCCACAGCGTCCGCCCGGGAACAGGAGACCCCAATAGACTACGACTGTCAGGTGAGGTAACGCAGAAATCCCGGATATTGTGCGGGACGTCATTAATGGGAACTGGAAAGTTCCAGTTTCGGATATGCAATTAGGTCTTCGCATACTGCGTGTGATCGCTATCATTCGTGAGATCACTAGTAGCTTTATTACCGAGGGGCATTACATTGCGTACCCTGGGAGTGCCGCTCTTGCCCCGGGCGGGAGCTCAGACCACGTTCATGACAAGCGACAAACAGACGCATACGCCCTTGACTGTCGCATTCGTGCTGCGGTTCACACGGACGATCTCATTGAGGAATGGGCCCTTATTTTGGGTAGACAGGTCCGCGCAGACATCCGTCGTCAGGGCACGAAGTTGCAGGGGGCCATTTATTGGCTTAGAGATAAGTGCGAGGACGAAGAGATGGAGCTCCAAGATAAAGACGAAGGCCCCTTTCGTACTGCATGCGGCAAACTCGGCATTCCAATTGCTACTGCTGCAAGAGAAATAATTAGATTCACTCGAGATCGAGAAACAAAAATTAGCGAGAGTGAAGGCGCCGCTGGGCCCCCCGACGGCCAAGCCGATTCGGTGGGGCCGACGCGACCAGACGATTTGGCAAAAGCGAGACCGATTCTACCACCTCCACCACGTAGACCCGACGTCCAAGACGATCGGGCTCGCGACGAAGTCACCGAATCTCAGTGTTCTGCCAGCGGCCCAGCCGCTTCGGCAGGTGAAGAGTACGCATGGTATTCGTCTGTTGACACACGGGATTGGTCGAGGCCCCCGCGCGCGCGCGATGGTGCCATGGACGTCGGCCGCGGCGCTGCGGGCTACGACCCGCTGATCCACCGCCCGCACTTCACAAATGACGTCCAAGATGTATACTACGTTCATCCTGACCGCATCTACTGGATGACCGAAAATGTCTGGTGGCCCCGAACGTGGCATATATTGTCTCTGACAGATTACAACCGCTACTTCCCGACGAAGGGGAATAATCCAATAACAAATACAAGCACAACAGAACAGCGTATCACGCTGGCCGCGGCAAGGGGTACAGATTCCGCCCGCCCCATGGGAAAGGAGGTCGACAGGGGGGCTCGTCGTCGTCACGTCCGAGGCCTCCGACTCCACCATCAGGGAGCAATCTTTGGGAAGGACTGAGTTAGGCTAGGCCCGCGTGACCCAGTCATTGCAGGTTTAACCGATCGACATAGACGTATCGGCCGAGAGAGCTCTACCGATCCACAAGTCGAATCGGCGGAGAGAATTGGCTTAACTAATGGTGGGAGTCGTCGGGCCTCTTCGGCCCTCAGCCCCCTGGCAGCCACCGCTGAGCTGTAAAAGTTTTTGCGGTTGGCTCCGGTGGTTGTACATATGTACAGGCTGGGGGTGATGTGGCTGGATGGGCCCTGCGAGGCCCGCCGCGGGGGGAGTAAATATGCTCCTCCCCGCCTCATCATAATCTTGCCTCTCTCGCTGCCTGCCTTGCAGTGCACTGTCTGTACTGTTACTGCGGTACCGATCCGCAGCTGTTTGTGCTCGAAGGAAAAACAGGAGCGAGCTTGTCTTCGGCCGCCGCGCGTCGTCGGTCGTCGGCCGGCCGGCCTCCTCCCTTACTAATCCTGAGTACACTTGCTTACCGGTTTATTATTGTCTTATCGATGTCTCTCCCCGTACCCTCTACCACTGAGCAGAGTGAACGTGAGACCTTAATTCCTTTGTCATCTTACCCCGATTCTCAGAGGAAAGACTTCAACGCCTATGCCAGCAACGACACCAGCACCGACGCAAGCACAGACGCCGGCGTGGACAAGACTGGGCGGGCGAATCGTACCCCCCTCGTGACGCAAATAGGGTTTGCGGAATCTCCTGACTGGTTCTACCTTGTTGCGCGCGGCCTGGGTGGATGGACGGCCGACCCTTGACGGAGTCAGCGCGCAAGAGGCGGTTTGGAAATTTGGATATCGTCTCCAAGGTTGTTTTCATCAACGACCCAAACTTCAGCGCCAGCGCGTCGGGCGGCGACCAAGTTGACGATTCAGACTTTCTCTTCGATTTGGCTAGACATCCGAAGTTCAGCATCTAGACCATGAGGCCCGACCGCGCCATCTTCTGATCGCGCAGGCGCGGGCGTTTGACCATCCCCTTCCTCTCGGGCCCCCCCCTCCTGCCCCCTCAGCCGTTCTCTTGCAGGTGCGCTTATAGTTCGGGGCGCTGCTAAACTTCAGGGGGAACTTCCAAAAAGGCTCCAAAAAGGCTCCCTGTAATAAAATCCTATTGTGCGTTGAGCGACAAGAAGAGCTTCAAAAAGGCTTCGAAAAGGCATGCCTGGAAATCGTAGGGCACCATTTTCAAAGCCCCACGACGCAATATCGCAGGGCGCGTGTATCTTTTGCTCAAGGCAGCGGAAATTAAGTAGGGAGTGGTGATGGACGATGAGAGGGGAGGGGGGGGGAGTGGAGGCAGCTCGAACACGGAGGTAGCTACGAGGCAGCTGATGGCGTTTCCCACGGGGCAACAACCATGAGGCATCTGCTTGACTGCAACGATGTAGCTACGAGGCTGCTTCCTGACTGCAGCGATGTAGCAATTGTGGCATAATTGCTACATCGCTGAGCCCTTGCTCCCCCCCCCCCCCCCCCCCCTCATCGCGGCATCAGGGTAAATGCCAGTAATGTTGCGAGAGTGCTGCGCGAGAGCGGCGAGAGACAGCCGCTGCCGTTTTTGTTCAGTGCTCACCACACCATGCCATATGTTGTCATATAAACATAGTTTGTGCACGAATGATGTGATCTTGTTGTCTTCGTGGAGATATGCCGCGCGGGAAGAGCGGGGAACAATTGGCGGCCGCGCAGGAGGCCGCGAGGCAGGCAACAAAAAAAAAGAAGCTGGAGCATGAACAACAAGCTACCTTGTCTCGTCGGCCGGAGCCCGTGCTTGTTTCAAAGAATTCAATGGGCGAGGCCTTTGGACCTAAATCGTGTCTTCTCTCTCGCCCAATATGGGGCTCAGTTGCTCTGGCCCTTCAGCAAGCTCAAGTATCGAACGTTGTCCCTTGTTCGTTGTCTAAAGATTTTTCTACTGGCGACGCGATTGCTTCGAGGACGACCCTTTCTGATAAATCCGCGCAGTACGACATGGGCGTTGACAGCTACAGACAACGCACTTCTAGATTGGGTGCTCTGGCTTGGACTCTAGACCGACTGGTAAGAAAATCGATCATGGGTGCAAATGGAAGGAGTTCGAGCTCAGCCGATATCAAGATTCAGCAGCGATTGACTGCCAATCTTACGACGAGACGCCGATGGGTTTGAGAGTCGCTGAGAAAAGCCAGGTTGATTTAGACTCCAAGGCGCTCTCGCTTCCTCAAAAAGACGTCTGGGCAATCCGCGCAAGCGACCATCAGAAGTAAATGCAGCCAACTGACGTTTGCAAATTGTTCCCGACTCTATCTGAATATGGATGTTTTGCGACGATGGCGCCTGCAGAGGGGAGCGTTCGGAAGGTCATGATCATCGGCGGAGTGTCCAACAACATCCAGTGCATCAGAACTACAAGTGCAACGCGCATTGCCGATGCACTTCGGGAGTCGGACAGCGCGAGCCTCGGCGAGTCCAGTGCTTCATCTTGTACTCGGCTCGCGCACGCGGACAGGCGCAGGTCGAACTTGGCGGCGGAGAGAATGTTGATACCTCAGCGGCCCGGCCAATGGAACATGCTTGCTCTATTCTGCGAGGTGCACTTGACGGCCAGCATTCACAAGACGACCTTGCAGCCGTTGGAGTCCGCAGTGAAAGGAGTCCTCAATCTAGCACTTGCGCTTCGAGGTGCAGGCCAGATGTCAGAATTCAAGCAGTGTCTCGCAGAGATCCTCGAGGCCCGCATGGAGCTGCGGGCGGGGCACGCCAGTGCCGAGGCGGAACTTTACGTCAGGATCGCTCTTCGCTGCTTCGTGCCAGGATCGGGCAATTCATCCCAGAGGCGGCTCATATTGTACACCATGCCAGCTGGAGAGTGGAGAGGAGACCGAATCGGGTGCTATGTGGACTCTGCAGATGCTGCCGCTGATGTGCAAAACAAGAAGCTCATCGCCGACGCCTTGACACAGATGCTTTGCAGCAGGAGGTTCAAGATCTGGCGGCGGGACAAATGGACGGGCTGCGAGGAGGCCATATGCCAGCAGGGCCTTGTCGCATCGTGCGGGAACGCTTTGGGGCCCGCCTTCGAGCTGCGGTGCCAGCGATGCACTGCGAAATCCAGGGCTGCAAGACGACGAGACGACGATGATGGAGCAGGAGATCTACGCGGCGATGGTCAGAGGCAAGATGGCGCCGATGGCGCCTGTGAAGCACTGGTCGCGCATGATGATGACCGGGATAAGCAAGCAGCGGGCGAGAAAGGCACAAATGATTATTCGAAAGAGAACGCAAATAATCGGCAAGCAGCATTGGATTGGGTGACCAACGATGCGATGACACCACTTTCGGGTTTAGTGTTGCCTCGACATCTTCTTGGGCCATTGCAGTCGTTAATTCGTGCTCAGATGCCCACCGCGTCTCACGCATGGGAGGCTCGTCAGCGGGCTGCTTCTATCAGGGCCTCGGGTCTTCCCCGAGAGAGCCCGAATGGCTCTGCTCCCGTTGGGCGAGATTTCAGGATACGTGTGGCCGCGAGGGGCGACCTCGAGAATGCAGCAGTATTGAAAATGCAGGCGCGCATGTCCAGCAGTGTGCTTTGGATCTTTCTTGATGTTGACCAAGTCATCAATCACGTTCGCAGCGTTGCATTTCGATCAATACCCAGAGCACTTGCAAATATCGATCGCCTGTTGGCTCGTCCACGCGCTGGCTACCCATGGAGGTTGTTTTTGCTCATCGGCAACCGCGGGCTGGCGAGTGAGATCTCCAGTGCACCGCCCTGCGTCATGGATGAGTTCTCGGCCAACTTCGTTCAGAACAACGACCTCACTACAGATGGTGGTATCTCGCTCGCTGTTGATCGCCTTATCCTTCACGCTCTTCTGGCATATACAGATACCACTCGGGTGGAGGTTGGGCATAGCCACTACCGCAGGCTAATCTACAGCAGAGTTCAGACCACGCAGATCGACTTGAATGGCTTATCGACACTCTGGATGAGTAAAGTCTTTGAGGAAGCCAATGTGGTTCTGGACCACTCGGGCGCAGCTGCTGCCGACGATCTTCCAGGAATGCGAGCGGACGGAGACGTGACGGAGCGAACGTATTCTGGCGGCCCTTGGAGGCTCTTCATACGCAGAGAGAAGTTGTCCGATTTCCGCGCCGCTGGCGAACGGTACAGAGCGTTGAGCCCTGAAGAGAAAGCGGAGTTGGTAGATGAGGGGCGGCGTGCTACTCAGCGGGCCCGCGAAGGCATTCCGAGCAGAGAGACGGCCTTCGGACCTCGGTCGAGGGATGTGGCCAAAGTTGTGAGGGACCGCAACTTTGGAAGCCGCCTGGCTCTACTTCGGGGCCTCGACGCGGATGCCACGGCAGACATACTAATGCAGGATGCCGTCGCTTCTGGGCAAGGCCCCGACGCCTTGTCCGCGCTGTCGCGGCGGCTTGACCGAGAGCGGCATCGACGTGGCCGAGATGGGGAGGAGGCGAACCTACGACAGATTGCAGAGTACGGCGTGGAAGCAACGCCGACCGCATTGAAGGATATCTTGGAATGCCAGCCGTGCCTCGCGTCTTCCTCCGAGGCGCTCGTCGCGGCGCAGTGCGTGCAAGGTGTGCCAGTTTTGGAGGTGTCGGCCGCGCGCGTGGCCACCCGCGCTGGCACGGTGCACGATTGGGCCAAAGTGCAGCCCAACAGCCGATGCAATCTGTTGACGTCCCTCGACAAGGTGTGGCAGCATCAAAACTTTCTTCTCCGCGGCGGCCCTCGGCCTGCAGTGGGCGATGACGACGTGGACGACCAGGAGCCAGAAGTGCCCAAGTGTTACAAATGCGGTGTTTGCTTGTGCGATTCCAGAGGGCGTTTACTATGGAATGTCAGGAACAAGCTGTACCGCATTCTCAAGGAGACCTTCCCTGCCAAATCAACGGATAGGGTTGAACTTGCTGATGGCTTCATCTTCATGCGCCTTGTTGGGCCCCCCGTGGGCTCCGGGGCCGACGTGGCCTTGTGGGGGCAAGAGGAGCGATGGTACCATGTCAGTGTTCTGTTGCTCAGCCCGCACGTCCCAGAGTTCCAGCTGATGGAGTTAGTCGAGGACGAGGATCAGCAGGCAGCTTCAGGTGTTGGTCTGGATGAGCTTGCTTTGCAAGTCGGCCTCTTAGCTCTCCCTCCTCCCAGCTTCATCGCATACATGGTCCTCCTGATTTCCCTCCTCCTCCACGTCCCCGTCCTCCCGCACCTCATGCCCCTCTTCCTGATCGTTCCCACGGCGCTGCCAATCCACGAGGCAGCCCTACGAGGTAGTTCTGAGGTAGCTGCACGGCGGTTCACCCGTTCTCGCCGAGAGGCCCATTGGCCTGCGCAAGCCATGGTAGCTATGGGAACGAACTCGAGTCCGACTGTCGATGGCGGGCCTGCCCGATCCTGATCGCCCAGGCAAGTTGCCCCTGAGTTGATTGGCGGCCAACCGAAGTCCGCCCCCATAGCGATTCAGATTCTTTCCTACCAACTACCCGAGCCCAAAGTCTTCAGACCGCCAGGGCTTCCCCCGTTCAGCCCCACCGCCCCGCGAAGATCGCTACGAGTGCCACGCTTGAGGCTGGAACGCGGGTGCTTCTTGGGCCGTCTTGGGTCTTATTGCCGTCTTGGGCCGATCTTGGGCCGTCTTGCGCCGAGCTTGGGTGTTTCTAGGGCTTGTGTTTCTTAGGTGCTTTGTGGGTGCTCCCGAAAGCCTCTTGGGCAATGGCTTGCCGCTTTCGGCCTGCTCCTTGAGCCTGCTTCGGCGCTTCGGAGACCCGCGGTGGGGGGGGGGGGAATGCGCAGAACATGGCGCATCCCGACGAGACTGCGAAGATGGCGGTCTCTCGGGGTCATGCTGGCGGGCGCGCGGTGGCGGCCATCTTGGAAACCTTAAGTGCATATTTGGTGTCTTGGGCGTCTTGGGACCAGCAACCAACAACCGAATCTAACAACATACCATTGTCCGCTTCGGAGCGTTTCTCGCGACGTGTCATTGTAGCATATGTATTGCGCTGCGCGCGTGCACTGCCTGGGCCAAATACTGGTGGGGCTGCTCGCGGCACACCGACAGGGGTTGGGCATGGGCTTGCTGGAGCCCCCCCCCCCCCCCCCCTCCCCCTGCACCGCCGTAGGCGCCGAGAGCCTGGGCCATCGTGCGACCGCAGGCAGCGTGCCCCGCGGTAAATCTGCTGGCCCCGTTGAGTCTACGGCGGCGGGGGTGGTGGTGGTGAACTCAAGCGTTACTGGGGGGTAAACTCGTGGCCCGTGGCTTCCCGTGGACCCCTCAAGGCTCGATGGATCCCTAGAGGCCCTAGTGGAGGGTCCTTCACAAGCGCGTGGTGGCGGCCATCTTGGAGCCCTCAAGGGCATCTTGAGCGTCTTGGGCGTCTTGGGGCCAGCAACCAACAACCGAACATAACAACGTAACATTGTCAGCTTTCGCTTGGGAACGTTTCCCACGACATGTCATTGCAGCAGATATACTCTTGCGCTGCGCGCGTGCGTTGCCTGGACAAAGCACTGGTGCGGTTGCTCGCGGCACAGCGACAGGGGGCGGGTTTGCTGGAGCCCCCCCCCCCCCCCCTCCCCCCCGCGCCGCCGTAGGCGCCAGGGCCTTGGGCCGATCAGCGACCGCAGGCGGGGTACCTCGCGGTAAGTTTGTTGGCCCAGGGAACTTTTGGCGTCTAGGCGGCGGGGGGGGGGGGGGGGCGTCGGCGTTGCTGGGGGTATATCGTGGACCCCTCGAGGGTTCCTTAGTGAAGGGTCCTTTCCAGGCACGTGGTGGCGGCAATCTTGGAGCCCCCAAGGGCAGCTTGGGCGTCTTGGACGTCTTGGGGTCGGCAAACAGCACCCGAACATAACGACGTAACACTGTCCGCTTGGGAACGTTCCCCACGACATGCCATTTACTCAGATATAGTATTGCGCTGCGCGCGTGCACTGCCTGGACCATATACTGGCGGGGCTGCTCGCGGCACAACGAAAGGGGGCGGGTTTGCTGGAGGTTCCCCCGCACCGCCGTAGGCGCCAGGGCCTTGGGCCGATCAGCGACCGCAGGCGGGGCACCTCGCGGTAGGTCTGTTGGCCCAGGGACCCTTGGCGTCTACGGCGGCGGGGGGGGGGGGGGGGCGTTGGCGTTGCTCGGGGCATTTCGCGGCCCGTGGCTTCCCGTGGGCACCGCGAGGGTTTCATGGTGGAGGGCCCTTTGCAGGCGCGCGGTGGCGGCCATCTTGGAGCCGCCAAGGGCGTCGGTCGCATTGGGCGCCTTGTGGCCAGCAAACAACAACCCAACATAATAACATGACGCCGTCCGCTTGAGAGCATTGCACGCGGTGGCGGTCATCTTGGAGCCCCCACGGGCAACCCAACATAACATAACAATATGACAACAACCAAACAACATGAGAACATCACATACCAACAGCCCAACATAACAACATAACATAAAACAGAACAACGCTTCACATATGCTTCAAAACTGCCTCCAACAAGCGCTCGAGGGGCCTCTCGCGTTCAATGCCCCAGCGAAACCCACGAAATGTTCGTTGCCATTTGCCCCCCGCTAGTTTTTCGCTGCCATTTATCACCCGCAATCTTTTCATTGCCATTTGCCTCCAAGCTTTTCGTTGCCAAGTGACCCCCCCCCCCTGCCCCCCTCCCCGAGCTTTTCGTTGTCATTTGTCACCCGCAAGCTTCTTTTCGTTGCCATTTGCCCCCCACGAGCTTTTCGCTGTCATGTGTCCCCCGCGACGACGACGACCTCCCCCCTGGACATCCTTTTGGACGCTCCCCCCACCCTCCCCCCTCCCCCCCCCCCGTTCCTCGACCTCCTCCTCCTCCTCCTCCTCCTCCTCCTCGTCCTCCCCCATCTTCCTCCCCCATGCACAATCGTCTTGGCGTGTTCCTGCGGGGGTGGTTTGGGGGCTGTGTTTTGCCCTAGGGGTGTTTCAAGGGCCGTGCCGCAGGGATGTTTCAAGGGCCGTGCTTTTAGGGATGTGTTAAAGGGGCTGCGTTTTACCTATGTGATGTTCCAGGGGCAATGGCTTAGGGATGTTGCAGGGGCCAATGCTTTCGGGATGTCCCAGGAGCGGTGCTTTAGGGATGTGTCAGGGGCTGTGCTTTGCCTTAGGGATGTTTCAGAGGCCGTGCTGTAGGGATGTTTTGAGGGCTGTGTTTTACCTTAGGCATGTTTCAGGGACCGTGCTTTAGGGATGTTCCAGGGGCAGTGCTTAGGAGATGTGTCATGGTATGTGTTTTACTTGGGGGATGGTTCATGGGCTGTGCTTTACCTCAGGGATGTTGCAGGGGCCGTGCTTTAAGGTTCCAGGGGCTGTGCTTTACCTCGGGGCTGTTTCTGGGGCCGTGCTTTAGGGGTGTTTCAGGGGCCGTGCTGTAGGGATGTTTGAGGGGCTGCGTTTGATCTTAAGGATGTTCCAGGTGCCGTGGTTAGGTATGTTTCAGGGGCTGTGCCTTGGGGAGGTGTGAGGGGCTGTGCTTTACCACGGGGGTGTTTCAGGGGCCGTGCCTCAGGGATGTTTCAGGGGGCGTGTTTTGCCTTCGTGGTGTTTCAGGGGCCGTGCTGTACATCATGGATGTTTCAGGGGCCGTGATGTAGGGGTGACTCATGGGGCTGTGTTTTGCTTTAGGGGTGTTCCAGGGGCCGTGCTTTAGCGATGTTCAGGGGCCGTGCTTTAGGGATGATTTAGGGGCTGTGCTTTGCCTCAGGGATGTTCCAGGGGCCGTGCTTTGGGGATGTTTCAGGGGCAGTGCGTTAGGGGTGTTTCAGGGGCTGCGCTGTACCTCAGGGATGTTTCAGGGGCCGTGCTTCAGGGATGTTTCAGGGGCCGTGCTTCAGGGATGCTTTAGGGGATGTGTTTTACCTTAGGGATGTTTCAGGGGCTCTGCTTTCCCTCAGGTACGTTTCAGGGGCTGTGCTTTACCTCGGGTATGTTCCAGGGGCTGTGCTTTAGATGTTCCAGGGGCTGTGCTTCGCCACAGGGATGGTTCAGGGGCAGTGTCTCAGGGAGGCTCCGGGAGATGTGTTTTACCTTAGGGATGTTTCAGGGGCCGTGCTTAAGGATGTTCCAGGGGCCGCGCTTTACTTCAGGACTGCTTCAGAGGCCGTGCTTTAGGGGCGTTTCAGGGGCTGTGCTTCAGGAATGTTTCAGGGGCTGTGTTTTACCTTAGGGATGTTCCAGGGGCTGTGCTTTACCTCGGGGATGTTTCAGGGGCCGTGCTTTAGGGATGTTTCAGGGGCTGTGCTCTACCACAGGGGTGTTTCAGGGGCCGTGATTTCGGGATGTTTCAGGGGCCGTGCTTTAAGAATGTTTTAGGTGATGTGCTTCACCTGAGGGATGTGTCAGGGGCTGTGCTTTACCTCAGGGATGTTTCAGGGGCCGTGCTTTAGGGATGTTTCAGGGGCTGTGCTTTACCTCAGGGATGCTTCAGGGGCAGTGCTTTAAGGATGTTTCAGGGGTCGTGCTTTAGGGATGTTTCAGGGGATGTGTTTTACCTTAGGGATGTTTCAGGGGCTGTGCTGTACCTCAGGAGTATTTCAGGGGCCGTGCTTTAGGTATGTTTCAGGGGCTGTGCTTTGCCCCAGGGATGTCTCAGGGGCCGTGCGTTCGGGATGTTTCAGGGGCCGTGCTTCAGGAATGTGTTAGGGACTGTGTTTTACCTCAGGGATGTTTCAGGGGCTGATCTTTACCTCAGGGATGTTTCAGGGGCCGTGCTTTAGGGATGTTTCAGGGGGCCGTGCTTTGCCTCAGGGGTGTTTCAGGGGCCGTGCTTTAGGGATGTGTTTAGGTGCTGTGCTTTACCTCAGGGGTGTTTCAGGGGCCGTGCGTTAGGGATGTTGCAGGGGCCGTGCCTCAGGGATGATTCAGGGTATGTGTTTTACCTTAGGGGTATTTCGGGGGCGTTGCTTTACCTGAGGGATGTTTCAGGGGCCGTGCTTTAGAGATGTTTCAGGGGCCGTGCTGTAAGGATATTTCAGGGTATGTGTTTTACCGTAGGGATGTTTCAGGGGCTGCGCTTTACTTCACATCCGCTCTTCCTGGTTTCACAATCAAGTTTGCGAGCAATTCTGCGCGGGCGAAGC